TACATAATCACAAATCAACATCTAGGGGATTTCTAGATTTTTCACTTTTCTTCTCAATGAGTTTTGTTAGGATATTTTGAAAGGAAGGTTTTTTAGGGATTTGGGGTGTGGAGGAGGGGGTATGCATTCAATGAATGGAATATTTAAAGATAATTTTGGTATAATTTGGGAGGAGAAAAGAAATTTTAAGAGTTTCAAAATTTATAAGTGGGGTCCAAAATAATTTTTAAGTTTTTCATAATTGACCAAGAATGTATGCGTAATTACGGAAAAAACCTGTTTCATAATTGACCAAGAATGTTTGTGTAATTACGAAAAAAAACCTATTGCATAATTGACAAAGAATGTTTGCGTAATTACAAAAAAACCTTCACTCAACATACACTACAAGAAAAAGCATTTTTGCCGACCACTTTTAGCTACCAAAACTAATTTAGTCGCCAAAAGTCACGGAATTGGCTACCAAAAATAATATTAGTCGGCAAAAGTCAACTTTTTAGCTACTAATTTTTTTTAGTAGGGGAATGTTGATTATTGGCTACTAAAAAAAATTTAGTAGCTAAAGATATTACAATTGGTAGAAATGCGTATGGATTTGTAGTTCAGATGCTAAGGATTTCTACGCTATGTAACGTGTAATATTATCTACCCTACAAAAAAGGAAAATTATTCAATACTCCCGGAGCACCACGTGTCCATACTCCAAACCAATCAGCAATTAGTTAGCCCCATGTTGTCCCCCCATGTCCAACATAAATCGTGGGCCCTTGTGTCTCTCCACCAATCAAAACCTTATGGAGCACCACGTGTCCATACTCCGGGAGTACTGAATAATCACCCAACAAAAAAAGTTAACTAGAAATTCTCTTAAAGAGTCATGATTGGTCTACAAATCCCAAAAAAGCACAAGAAAAATAGTTCACAACTTATTGATGCATTATGTGTCATGTAAAATAAATTGATAGAGAGAGAGAGAGCAAGTGAATAAATGTGTATATTGAATTTGTTGTGTGTTTACAAAGGGAGCTTAGCTCTCTATTTATAGCTGATATTGGATGCGAGGCATGCCATGCGAGACGTGAGGCACCGAAAGGCAAGGCTAAAGCTTTAGCCGAAAGTGAACAAACAAAATGATAACAATGAACGGATACAATGCTAATAAACAATACTAAAGTAATGCTATAAACAATGCTATACAAAGTATAATAATATACTAACATTGTTATACCCATTTGCAGCCATTTGCAGCCAATGGCAGACTTGCCAGGAGGAAGATCAACAATGTCCCAAGTATGAGTTTTGGCTAAAGCCTGCAATTCAGTAGTCATAGCTTGCTGCCAAAGAGGATTAGAGCGAGCCTCACGATAGGAGGTCGGTTCATAAGTAGAAAAAGCAGTAGAACCAACAATAAAGTCACGAAGACGAGTAGAAGGTTGTGTTACCCGGCGTGGTCTAGCAGACGGAGGAGGAGCCAGAGGAAGAGACTCAGCAGGAGGGGAGGAGTCCGAGGAAGGAAGAGCAGGACCATCAGAGGGAGCAGGAGCATGGGACAGTCCAGCAGGCAAGGCGATCTCGAGAGAAGTTGGCGTGGGTGGGGGAGGAAGATCATCAGAAAATAGATCGGTGGAAGGATCAGTAAAAAACAGAGAGGGGGAGGGAACAGACAAACGGAAGAGAGAGAGAGAGGAAAACATTTTGTGTTCCCAAAAGACCACATGACGAGAGATACGAAGTCGTTGGGAGAGAGGATCCCAACAACGATACCCTTTATGTTCAATACCATAGCCCAAGAAGCAACAAAGGCGGGAACGAGGTTCAAGTTTGGTACGTTCATGAGGTTGGAGAAGAACAAAACAGGCAGAGCCAAAGACCCGAAGGGTGGTGTAAGGAGGACGGGTGCCGTGCAGACGCTCATAAGGAGTGTGATTATGAATGACAGGGGTAGGGATACAATTGATAGTGTAAGCAGCAGTGAGAGATGCCTCTCCCCAAAAATGTTCCGGACAAGAGGAAGACAGAAGGAGAGCTCGAGTAGTGTCAAGAATATGTCGATGTTTCCGTTCAGCACGTCCATTTTGTTGAGACGTACCGGGACAGGAACGATGAGGTTGAGTACCATGACTCTGAAGAAAGGAAAGAAAGTCAAAATCTTTATATTCCATGGCATTGTCGGAGCGAAAAATCTTAATAGTTTTAGAAAATTGTGTGTTAACCATTGCAGCAAAATTGTAATAAAGTTGTTTGAGCTCAGAGCGAGTTTTCATAAGGAACAACCATGTAAAACGGGAAAAATCATCAATAAAAACAACAAAGTAGCGGGCTCCGCCCATAGTGGGAGTAGGAGAGGGTCCCCAAATATCAGAATGGATGAGATCAAATGGTGCAAGAGAAACAGAGTCACTTTTATTAAACGACAAAGCAGGTTGTTTAGCAAGTTGACAGGACACACAATCTAAAGCATCAGAACTGACAGGACCTAAATGACCACTAGAAATTAAAGTTTTTAAACAACCAGCAGAAAGATGGCCTAAACGACAGTGCCAAAGCTGAAAAGGAGATAAACGAGGAGCAGTGGTAGTAGTGGCAGGAGCTGTGATCTGAGAGGAATCCGGAACATGAAGATGGATAAGTTCGTAGAGGCGTCCATGCTTACGGCCTATCTCAAGGGTTTGCCCCGTCCGAGGGTCCTGCACCAAACAACCAGTAGGAGAAAAGGTAACAGTTAGACCATGCTCACATAATTGACTAATGGAGATAAGATTTAAAGTGAGAGCAGGCATAAGATAGACATGAGATAAAGATAAGTGAGAGGTGGAAACAGAACCAACATGACTCACAGACAGAAGAGACCCATCAGCAGTATGGATAGAAGGAACATGAGGAGTAACAGAGATAGGAGTAAAAATAGTAGAGTCAAAGGCCATGTGATTACAACAAGCGGAGTCAAAGTACCAGGAAGTGTTACCTGCGGTGACAGACAAGGCAGGAGAGGAAGGAGTACCAGATTTTTGCAAAAAATGTTGAAACATGGCTTCGACATCTGTGTGAGAGAAGACTGGAGCGGAAGGATCTATAGGGACAAGGGAAGGTACATCCTCGGAGGCAGCAGCAGCAGTGCGGTGAGCAGGGAGTGATTTAAACGGAGGCCCAGAACGATGTGAGGTGCTGCGGGAAAAATGCTCGGGGGAAGGACCATTGCGAGAAGCACGGGCGGGATTGCGGAAGCAATCTTGCTGGAGATGACCAGGACCAGTCTTGTTGCAAAACCGACAGAGGCGAACAGGACAATTAACCAAAAGATGAGTCGACGGAAGACTGCGATTGTGACAGTAGTTGCAGAAGGTTGACTTCTGTGGTGAAGGTGGGGAAGGAGAACTCTTAGTCTGGGGAGTAGCAAGAACAGAGTCCACAGGGTGCGGATGGAGAGTACCAAACCGAGTTTCCTCTGACAAGAGTTCAGAAATTGCTTGCTCAAGAGTGGGTAAAGGAGTGCGATGGAGGAGAGAAGCTCGTACGGGCTCAAAACGGGAAGTAAGAGCCATGAGAAACTGAACCAAGCGATGTTGATCACGGTAAGTAGTAAACAAGGCAGCATCCTTAGTACAATCCCATGGAGGTTCAGAAAGAGCGAGTTGATCCCAAACAGAATACATTTGGGACAAGAAATCATTAATGGTCTGAGTTGTTTCTTGGCGCATACGGTGAAGGTGACTCAGAAGCTGATATTGGTGAGCAAGGCCAGTAGTCTGATAGCGTTCTTGTAAAAAATCCCAGATGTCCTTGGCGGGCGAGGAAGCAGAGTCAATTTGGAACCGACCAAACTGAAGGCTGATAGATGTGATAGAGGTATTGCGAAACCAGGTAATGATCTGATAGTTTTTACTATCCCAATCCTCCAGACGATCGATATATTTGGCAGCGGAGTCCGTGGTGGCAGCGGATTCGGTGGTTGCATGGATGGGTTTGCACACATCCCCAGTGATGATGCGCCAAAGTTTCTTTCCTTTGAGAAATCCAGACATAGCTTGTGCCCATAAGACATAGTTAGTCCCGTCAAGAACAACGGAAATAGGGTGGTTAGAGGAGTCGAGACGATCCATGAGGGCAAAATCGTACTTTCGAGGTAGAATTTAAAAAATCCGAGGGTACCAGTGAATTCAGAAGGTCGAAATCAGTGGGAAAAGAGTGACCGGACCAAAAAATTGGACCAGAAAGGCACTAAATGGGCTGGTCAAAGTGGCTGGTCAAAATTCGGTCGGCGCACGTTAGCAGAGAGTGCGCGGCGCACAATAGCAGCAGACAGCAGGCGGCGCACGAAAGCAGAGAGGTGCGCGGCGCACGTTAGCAGAGAGGTGCGCGGCGCACAATAGCAGAGGACAGCAGGCGGCGCACGAAAGCAGTAGGGCTGACGTCGGCTGACGCAGAAACACGCGGCTCACGTTAGCAGAGAAGGCCGCGGCGCACAGTAGCACGGGACAGCGCAGAGGCGCGTAGAGCGCGTTGGAGAACGAGGAGGCGCGTGGCCTTAACTTCTGGAGGCGCGTGGAGGCGCGTGTGATGTTGTCTGGTGATGAATTTGGTGGCGATGGATTCGTCGTGAGGAGACGAAGAGATTGGTGTGGTTGAATAGGGAAGACAGAGAAGGTCGAGAGATGCAACAATCTGTCTAAATGTGATGCTCTGATACCATGTAAAATAAATTGATAGAGAGAGAGAGCAAGTGAATAAATGTGTATATTGAATTTGTTGTGTGTTTACAAAGGGAGCTTAGCTCTCTATTTATAGCTGATATTGGATGCGAGGCATGCCATGCGAGACGTGAGGCACCGAAAGGCAAGGCTAAAGCTTTAGCCGAAAGTGAACAAACAAAATGATAACAATGAACGGATACAATGCTAATAAACAATACTAAAGTAATGCTATAAACAATGCTATACAAAGTATAATAATATACTAACATGTCACATTACTCATTTGCTATTACAATACAAATGCTACCAAATGCCTCTTCTAGACGGCAACTTTACCAATACATTGCAAGTTATGCGCTAGAAATACAGATCGATAATGCTTAACTTGTAACTTAAAAACATTATTTAATAGAAAAACACGAGAAACAGTTGGCATATATGTTATCTGTATGGACCATTCCTATTCATACCTTCATTCCCCATTCTGTTCGTATAAATCGGTAAACCCCATTTGCTATAAAGGATTTTGAACCAGCTTTGGGTGAGTAGCAGCATAGATGGAAGAATTGATATCGGTTTTTAGATGGGAAAGTAGATGCTGTACATCTGGACGTAAATTTTCCAATGCTCTTCCACAGAGTGCCAAAACTTCATACCTTGGTTTACTGTTAGCCTGCACAGGTCCTCCTTGCCCTTCATAATGGACAACATGATAGCTGTTGGGCATAAACAAATCAAACATATGTAAGAAAGGTCGTGTGGATGGTAAATGGATAAATTTGAAATTTTATGCGATAGGATTGGTTCAAAGACGAGAAGCAAGATCTTACATGAAGTCAATGAGATCAGCTATATCCGACGCTTCAACAGGAGTTGATAGCTGTGAGTTCTTCCCGAACACATCGACCATTATATTTAAAAGCAATGACAGAGTCTGGAGGTCATTTTAAGAATATTACAACCATAACATATTCAAAAGATGTAATTAAGCAATCAATTTAAGATGTTAGGCCCAGAAGATACCAAAACTTTTGGTGTTCTATGATTCACCAACGATCACGGTTCTTAGAATCTTACTATTCACAATACAATTCGGTACGAATTTTGACCAAAACAATTTCATACGTGTTGTTGGATCTTAAACTGTATGAATCTTATGGCTCAATTGCGTTTAACTATGATTCTTTATGATTCAGCATGATTTGCTACTATTCAATGTGATTCACTACAATTCAACTCTATTTGCGTAACACATAAAACAATGTTGTTTTTACAAAATAAAAGAGAGATAAATTAATTATATTAATGTACATGGTTTTATATCTATATACATATTTATGATTTAGTTATATTAAAATTTATTTCATTTCAAACGTGTACTTTTACATCTACATACATATATAAAATCATATATTATGTTAAATAGAGTGAATTTTACGATTCACGATTCATTATTTTAGCAAAACGATTTATGATTTGATTCATACTTACAACAATGCCTACGATTAATGACTTTTTCCCATGGTCTATTGAAAGGTCTCCATTCCTACGGTGGTTTGGTCAATGAACGCATCTTGGGCCAGATTGACTAATCTAGCCCTTAAGGACGCCTTGACATTGTTGGGTGCTTTGCTTTAGAGGAGTTGGATCCAGGCTAAGAACTAAGGCCTCGTTTGGAGACTAGCCGGTTTAGCCAAAAAGCTAAAAAGTTACTAAATTAGCCAAAAAGCCAAAGATTATTTTTTCTCTATACTTTTTGCACATCTTTTCGTAAAAAGTCAAAAAGTCATCCCAAACATACTAGTTTTTTTTAACTCATATCTTAGCCAAATAGCCAAAAAGTTACTAAATTAGTCTGTTCCCAAACGAGGCCTAAGGCTAGTTTTATATTAACACATTCAAATCATAGAGGATGGTTTAAACAAAGTCATCTTTATTACATAGAGGAAGTGAGTACTAGATCTCAGAGCAAGACAAGAATATATGCACTTTAGCATGGTGAAAAACTATTAAGTCACTATAAGTTGTGAAGAGATTGTAAGAATTCTCTCACTGATGCTTGGAAATATTAGAGGTTAGTTACAACTACACCTATCAGTCTGACATAAGACCTACCATTGCCTATGTAGCAAGTGTAATGAGGTTAAATCAGAATGGAAATAAAATTCATTGTTGAATACCAGATACTGAAATTCAAAGAATTAAACTAGAAATGAATCAGTAATTTTCTGACCTTATTGAAAAGAGCATGTGCATTGGCCAATCGTGGAAGCAACGTACCCATAATACGGAATACTATTCTCAACACTGCAACTGATGTAACTGGCCTGAGATGCTTTATGATAAGGTGTGTTCCTTCTAGCCAATAGCTGCAGCAGCATACACTTTCTTCTTGGAGAGATAGTGCTTGGGTTGATAAAATCAATTGGGTGGTGCAAAAGTTTTTCCATTATTCGGGGCAGTCATTGTGTGGCCAATTTGGTTCGGTTGGCTATTTTGAATTCTGCTGTTTGGGTTAATTATTTTGGGTCTTCTTCAACTCTGATTCTGAAGATTTGAGGGTCAATAAAAAAAACATAATGTAAGAAACAATTAGTCCTTAAAACTTGAAATGGTTCAAGGTGATGAATGTTTAGCTGATCAGTTTGAAAAGAACTAGACCACGGCTACCTCAAAGCAAGTAAAACATTGTTTGTTAGCTTAGATAATACGCTATGAACTGAAACAATTTGACTTTCATTATTACTCTGCTTCAATCCTAGAGAAGTTATAACTCACTGCTATATGTTTTAGCAGAAGGTTTGAGCTATAAATTGTGTTCATGTGAGCAAAAGTTTATGATCAGCATTAGTTTTTATTCCCATTGATTGATTTACTTGTGGGGGAATCATCGGATTTTCCCTAACAACTGGTATCAGAGCTTACGGTTTATTAGGATTTATTTATTTGTGTAAATCAATGGAGGGGAATGTGGGTCGTATGTCTAGCTTCAATGGAAGTAATACTGTGTTCTAATTTATTCAATTTGCCATTGAAAAGAAAATGACTTCGAGGCAGCTTCATTGCCCCCAACAGTGAATGAAGGCAATAGATTTATATATTGCTTATACATACAGAAAAATGAAATGGCTAGACAGCACCCTCATCATTAGAGGATGAAAAGAAAAAAGCAAAATAAATATAGAGATAAAATATCAACACCAAAGACATGGTAAAATCAAGGTTGTTAAAATCGGTATCCTAGGTAGGATCGGTGAGAGGATCTCGTGAATTGGATTGCAGGATCGGATTGAGGATCGTAAGATCCTACTTTCTATTAAAAAAAATATAAAAATACAAATTAGAATGACACATATTAAAAATAAGGTGAAAAATCACAAAATCTACGATCCTACTGGTGATCCTGTTATAACATTAATCCTACAACGATCTGGATCGTTTTAGCAATCTAGGATTGTAGGATCGTATGAATCTTACAATCCGGATTGCGATTTTAATAACCATGGGTAAAATTTATCAATACAAAACCAAAGTTATCAAGCACATACCAATGGCTGTTGAGGTATTATCTTGGGCAGCCCATGTTGGATCAAGCAAAGCATAACCAACAGCAGAGTCTAGTTCTCCAAATGACCTCTTCCCATCAGTAAGCCACCAACTCTCTTTTATTAGACGCGATGCCTCCATATAGAGTTGTATGTGAAAATCTGTAGGGAGTTGAGCCAATAAAAGACCGCAAGCTTGGATGAGCAAACAAGACAACTGCTGGCATGTATAGCCACTTCGGGAAACAAAGTTAGAGGTGTTAATTCCTGAGACAGAAGGAGTTGGTCTACTTGCGTTCAAGGAATCAGTGCTTCCTCCTGAAGGGGAAGTTGGTAAAACAGAACCTTGCCCAACACCATTAGGAGCACCATCCAGACCATTGCTAGATTGGATTAGTGTTGGTTGTATGTGCACAACAATTTGAACTAGTGATGATACAATCTGGGACGCAGATACAGGAAGAGAGAATATTTCTATGACTGCTGTTTCAAGCATCAGCTGAGTATGTGTCCCTGGATCTTGGATTTGATAGAATGCTTTCTGGCCTTCGGAAGCATTTGTTGGTCCGGGCTGAGAAGTCGCTGAATTCTTGCGTGCACGGAGGGAATTACTTGAAGCATCCCCCAGTGAGACAGTTTTTGAGCTATTATTTAAAGGAGGAATGACATTATTCACAATACCTAATAAAAGAGTTGCAAGGTAGTCCAATGGTGGGCAAATGGCAGCATTTGATGAGTTAATATGCTGGGCAATGACTCAGAAAATGGGATCTGAAACGCAACAAGAAGGAACAAATGAGGCAGCAGCAACGACCAAAGTAGAGAGGGGTGGGGGGCAAAGAAGGTGGAGGGGGGAGGAGATTCACCATTACCTTTTTAAGATCCAGTACATTCAGTATTCGGAGAATAAGCTTTCCCGGAAGATGACCATAGAAATATGCAAGTATATCACGAACAAATGTAAAATTTAGGGGGTAATAGTGAAGAAATGTGGAAAACAACTGCAGAACTCTGTCAGCAAAGTCTGTGGCATCATTTTCAATAAGTCTATAGATGATTAAGGGGATGACTGGAAGCAAACGTGCAGTGATATCATCAAAGAATGTGGGATACCTGTGTAGTGCAAGATGAGAAAAACAAGAGTCAATACAGTGCAGGCAATCAAATCAAATGAAATTGCACAGTTTACAAAGATAGAGCAAAAAAATAGTCTAGATAGAAAGAAATATATGCATTAACAAAAATAATGGGAAAAAGGGATCTCATGACTACATTTATGAGAAGCCAGAAGAGGAACAGGAATTTATTCAGTCACTTAAAAATGGTTACGCCAATGCTTTCTGGGAGACAATGGCAATTTTACGTCTACATTGAGGGAACCACGTAAATGGTGTTCAGTTTAATAAACTTAAGTGGTGGCACATACAAGTCCATCACAAAAAATGCTTTCAACCCAACTATATACCAAACAATTTGATTATATGTCCTCAAGGTGCTTTGTACATGGTGGTTGGATATTGACAAGCCATGAAAGTATATTTTAATCTTTGGGATTGGAGGAATAGATATTAAAATCTTCAAACCTATGATATCTGTGTGCAAGTGGACTTCGCAGTAAAGAGAATTGAAAATATTGCTCATAACCTAAAATCTAATATACTTTACTATGACATAAAATAAATAAATAATTTTGATGAACATCTCAGGAGTGGTGAAATTCCAATTTGGTTCAAGGAAGACGCCATCCTTTAATATTTCTGTCCCTTGATTATTAATAGTTAAAATCTGAGTTAAAAACTGAATGCCTGAATGGCAAAGTTATACAAAAAAATTGAGTACGATTCTAATGGATGTAAAGATAGCCTTCCTTCATGGTGATCTAGAAGAGAAAATTTACATGAAACAACCACAAGGTTTGACAAGAATTGAAGTGGGTGAAAATTAATCAAGTCTTGGTGCTAGGCCCAATGCAATACTCACTCCAAGGTGGAGCTAGGTCGGACCTCGGCCCTATGGCCAACACTTGCTCCGAAGTAAGACAATCATAGGAGTTCGGCCCAATGTACGAGCGTCACTCCAAAGTGGAGCTAGGCCCAATGCAACACTCACTCCAAGGTGGAGCTAGGTCGGACCTCGGCCCTATGGCCAACACTTGCTCCGAAGTAAGACAATCATAGGAGTTCGGCCCAATGTACGAGCGTCACTCCAAAGTGGAGCTAGGCCCAATGCAACACTCACTCCAAGGTGGAGCTAGGTCGGACCTCGGCCCTATGGCCAACACTTGCTCCGAAGTAAGACAATCATAGGAGTTCGGCCCAATGTACGAGCGTCACTCCAAAGTGGAGCTAGGCCCAATGCAACACTCACTCCAAGGTGGAGCTAGGTCGGACCTCGGCCCTATGGCCAACACTTGCTCCGAAGTAAGACAATCATAGGAGTTCGGCCCAATGTACGAGCGTCACTCCAAAGTGGAGCTAGGCCCAATGCAACACTCACTCCAAGGTGGAGCTAGGTCGGACCTCGGCCCTATGGCCAACACTTGCTCCGAAGTAAGACAATCATAGGAGTTCGGCCCAATGTACGAGCGTCACTCCAAAGTGGAGCTAGGCCCAATGCAACACTCACTCCAAGGTGGAGCTAGGTCGGACCTCGGCCCTATGGCCAACACTTGCTCCGAAGTAAGACAATCATAGGAGTTCGGCCCAATGTACGAGCGTCACTCCAAAGTGGAGCTAGGCCCAATGCAACACTCACTCCAAGGTGGAGCTAGGTCGGACCTCGGCCCTATGGCCAACACTTGCTCCGAAGTAAGACAATCATAGGAGTTCGGCCCAATGTACGAGCGTCACTCCAAAGTGGAGCTAGGCCCAATGCAACACTCACTCCAAGGTGGAGCTAGGTCGGACCTCGGCCCTATGGCCAACACTTGCTCCGAAGTAAGACAATCATAGGAGTTCGGCCCAATGTACGAGCGTCACTCCAAAGTGGAGCTAGGCCCAATGCAACACTCACTCCAAGGTGGAGCTAGGTCGGACCTCGGCCCTATGGCCAACACTTGCTCCGAAGTAAGACAATCATAGGAGTTCGGCCCAATGTACGAGCGTCACTCCAAAGTGGAGCTAGGCCCAATGCAACACTCACTCCAAGGTGGAGCTAGGTCGGACCTCGGCCCTATGGCCAACACTTGCTCCGAAGTAAGACAATCATAGGAGTTCGGCCCAATGTACGAGCGTCACTCCAAAGTGGAGCTAGGCCCAATGCAACACTCACTCCAAGGTGGAGCTAGGTCGGACCTCGGCCCTATGGCCAACACTTGCTCCGAAGTAAGACAATCATAGGAGTTCGGCCCAATGTACGAGCGTCACTCCAAAGTGGAGCTAGGCCCAATGCAACACTCACTCCAAGGTGGAGCTAGGTCGGACCTCGGCCCTATGGCCAACACTTGCTCCGAAGTAAGACAATCATAGGAGTTCGGCCCAATGTACGAGCGTCACTCCAAAGTGGAGCTAGGCCCAATGCAACACTCACTCCAAGGTGGAGCTAGGTCGGACCTCGGCCCTATGGCCAACACTTGCTCCGAAGTAAGACAATCATAGGAGTTCGGCCCAATGTACGAGCGTCACTCCAAAGTGGAGCTAGGCCCAATGCAACACTCACTCCAAGGTGGAGCTAGGTCGGACCTCGGCCCTATGGCCAACACTTGCTCCGAAGTAAGACAATCATAGGAGTTCGGCCCAATGTACGAGCGTCACTCCAAAGTGGAGCTAGGCCCAATGCAACACTCACTCCAAGGTGGAGCTAGGTCGGACCTCGGCCCTATGGCCAACACTTGCTCCGAAGTAAGACAATCATAGGAGTTCGGCCCAATGTACGAGCGTCACTCCAAAGTGGAGCTAGGCCCAATGCAACACTCACTCCAAGGTGGAGCTAGGTCGGACCTCGGCCCTATGGCCAACACTTGCTCCGAAGTAAGACAATCATAGGAGTTCGGCCCAATGTACGAGCGTCACTCCAAAGTGGAGCTAGGCCCAATGCAACACTCACTCCAAGGTGGAGCTAGGTCGGACCTCGGCCCTATGGCCAACACTTGCTCCGAAGTAAGACAATCATAGGAGTTCGGCCCAATGTACGAGCGTCACTCCAAAGTGGAGCTAGGCCCAATGCAACACTCACTCCAAGGTGGAGCTAGGTCGGACCTCGGCCCTATGGCCAACACTTGCTCCGAAGTAAGACAATCATAGGAGTTCGGCCCAATGTACGAGCGTCACTCCAAAGTGGAGCTAGGCCCAATGCAACACTCACTCCAAGGTGGAGCTAGGTCGGACCTCGGTTTTGTTGTTTTATTTTTGATGTATTACATGTAAATTCAAGCCAAGGGCTTAATGTGTAAACGAGTTAGTACTCTTTTGTTGTAACCAAGTGTTAACTTGGAAAGCTGTAAGCCTGTAGGGCATTTTGCTTTTGTTGTTAGCATGTAATACTTCTGTAATGAAACTCTGATGAATAGAAGAATGTGGTTATTTCATATGTCAATGCATGTCTTATTTGATGGGTTTAATGCTGTTATTTTGAGGGCGTTACAATTGCTAGATTGGATTAGTGTTGGTTGTATGTGCACAACAATTTGAACTAGTGATGATACAATCTGGGATGCAGATACAGGAAGAGAGAGTATTTCTATGACTGCTGTTTCAAGCATCAGCTGAGTATGTGTCCCTGGATCTTGGATTTGATAGAATGCTTTCTGGCCTTCGGAAGCATTTGTTGGTCCGGGCTGAGAAGTCGCTGAATTCTTGTGTGTACGGAGGGAATTACTTGAAGCATCCCCCAGTGAGACAGTTTTTGAGCTATTATTTAAAGGAGGAATAACATTATTCACAATACCTAATAAAAGCGTTGCAAAGTAGTCCAATGGCGGGCAATTTGCAGCATTTGATGAATTAATATGCTGGGGAAATGACTCAGAAAATGGGATCTGAAACACAACAAGAAGGAACAAATGAGGCAGCAGCAACGATCAAAGTAGAGAGGGGTAGGGGGAGGGGGAAAGAGATTCACCATTACCTTTTTAAGATCCAGTACATTCAGTATTCGGAGAATAAGCTTTCCTGGAAGATGACCATAGAAATATGAAAGTATATCATGAACAAATGTAAAATTTAGGGGGTAATAGTGAAGAAATGTGGAAAACAACTGCAGAACTCTGTCAGCGAAGTCCGTGGCATCATTTTCAATAAGTCTATAGATGATTAAGGGGATGACTGGAAGCAAACGTGCAGTGATATCATCAAAGAATGTGGGATGCCTGTGTGGTGCAAGATGAGAAAAACAAGAGTCAATACAGTGCAGGCAATCAAATCAAATGAAATTGCACAGTTTACAAAGATAGAGCAAAAAAATAATCTAGATAGAAAGAAATATATGCATTAACGAAAATAATGGGAAAAAGGGATCTCATGACTACATTTATGAGAACCCAGAAGAGGAACAGGAATTTATTCAGTCACTTCAAAATGGCTACGTCAATGCTTTCATGGAGACAATGGCAATTTTACATCTCTTTCCCTGAAAAATGGTGCTCAGTTTAATAAACTTAAGTGGTGTCACATACAAGTCCATCACAAAAATGCTTTCAACCCAACTATATACCAAACAATTTGATTATATGTCCTCAAGGTGCTTTGTACATGGTGGTTGGATATTGACAAGCCATGAAAGTATATTTTAATCTTTGGGATTGGAGGAATAGATATTAAAATCTTCAAACCTATGATATCTGTGTGCAAGTGGGCAAAAACTTGTCAGCTATACAAATCCATGATGATGCCCATATGGACTTCGCAGTAAAGAGAATTGAAAATATTGCTCATAACCTAAAATCTAATATACTTTACTATGACATAAAATAAATAATGAAGGTTAGTAAACGGAAGTTTATGGCAAAAAAAAAAACCAAACAAATAATAATAAATCTTTTAAAGTTCAAGAATAATAAACTTTAAAAAGAGAAACGAGGCTCCGTTTGGCTTGTTTTTTAAATTCAATTTTCACAGTTTAAAACTCAAAATCTGCTTGGTTTTTAGTTTTTAAAAATAAATTTTAAAATTCATTTGAAGCCAAAATTTAAAATCCAAAAAACTTGTTTAGTTTTGAGTAAATAAAATGTGAAGAAATGAAAACAAATTTCATAAATACATAAAACATTAAAATTGTATTAATTTTTAATTTGGCTCAAACAATTTTTTTTAATTTTATATTTCTCATTATTCAATAGTTTTATACATTTTTTTTTTATAAATGTTGAATGTTTTAAATGTTTGTAGATTGAGTGGATATAAAATAAATAAATAAATAAAAAAGTGTTAAAATTTTTAAAATGTTCATAAAAGATAAAAAAAAAATATTGAGTGAAACTTTACCCTATAGATTAGATTAGATGCATCTAAAAAGTAAATTTAAATTAGGTATATGAAAAAAGTAAACAAATTGGACTATAATATTGTACAAAAAAAATAACTACAATACAAAAATACACAAAACCCAAAAAAACTCAAAAATTAGTTTTGAAAACTCATAACCAAACAAGTTTTGAATTTTCAAATTTCTAAATACTATTTTCAAACTATACAACTCAAAACTAGTTTGAAAACTCGAAACCAAACAAGTTTTGAATTTTCAAAACTCTTTTTCACAAATTATCTTTCAAAACTAAATCAAACGTAGCCAAAGGTTGCTAAAAGCATTTAGTGTAGCTTCATGTTAGGGAGGTTTCACTTATGTCTTTTAAGACAGAGAGCAACATTGTATTCTAACAACATTCTGATGCAGACTGAATTTTAGAAAATAAGTATTTTTATTTTATTATTTTAAAATTAATATTTGACCATGAATATTCTAAATTGGTATAGAATATTATGGAATTATTTAGTTATTTAGTTTCCTAATTTAATATGATGTAGTTTTCCTATTTTCTTAGTTTTGATTTTATTTCCTATTTTATTTGTTTCTTGTTCTACAAGAATTAGGTTCATTATAAATAAAGATGTAAGCCTTAGGGCAAGGGAGAGAGTTTTGATGATTAATATATTTTGAGTTTTATTACTCTTTGTTCCAACTTTGGTTAATTCTGTGTGAATCAACTTTGGTTGAGCCTTTAAACTCGGTATTCTTGGGAATCAACGGGTCTAAAGAGGAGTCTTATTTTCGATATTCTTGTGTGAATCAACGGATCTTAAGATTGTTACTATTGTTTCATATCTGGCCAAATCACATTCCAATTCATTTGAAAAAAATAAGCATTGAAACCATCAGGCCCTAGAGATTTGTCTGGTTTGATGCCAAATACGTCAGCCTTTATTTCCTCAACAGTTAATGGTTTCACAAGAAGACCTTGCTGATCATGCTGGAGTTGAGGGAGACCAAAACTATTAAGAACAAGTCACCCTTCCCTTTTTGTGCAAATTCAGATCCCAACAATTGCTTGTAATATATAACGATTTCCTCCTTTACTAGTTTAGGATCCTCTAATGCATCTCCATTCAAAGCTCTATGCTTAAGATTTTACTCCTCAGCCTATGATTGCACATGTTCTGGTGGAAAACTTGGTATTTTGATCACCCAACCTAAGCCAATTAATCCTAGCCTTCTGTTTTTTAACAGATACTTCTGCTAGGGTGAATTCTGCATCAAGGAATTAGCATCTAAGCTCTTTATCTGAAAATGTGGCTTGAAATTGCTCCAAATTTTGCCTTGCCTCCACCACTCTAGTTGAGATGTTGGAACAATGATCTTTGTTGAGCTGCCTAAGAATAAGCTTAAGCCTTTTGAGCTTGGCTTGGAACTTCACCATAGGTGATCCCTGCTGTGGCTACATCCATGAATCCTCCAAAAGCTTAAAGAACTTTCCATTTTTCAACCAATAGATCTTTAGTCTCAAATAGTTCTCATCTTTCACTGTTCATCCATGCTGATTCCATCACCAGTGCAAACTTCACCCAGATCATTCACAAAATTAAAGTGAAATTGTGGTGGCCTGTTACCCTTCATGGTGGACGCATTGAATTTGGGGGATTGGAGAAAGTGCAAAGTTTTTTGAGTAATGCTACGTATCATGAAAAAAATACCATGAAAATGATTATGAAAGATTCTCCACCATTAGATTACACATACAAAAAAACACCACACACTAATCAAAGGAAGAGAAATCTTCATGGAAGATTTCATGATATTTTTTTATGATTCCTAACATTACTCAAGTTTTTTTTTTTATCATGGGCATACTTTGAGTTTGTTCTTAAAATTCTATTGATAATGGCGGTAGTTGATTTGAAGTCTTGAAGGGTTGGAGAAGATGGAAGGATAAGTGACTTCCTTGTCCATGGTGTGAAAAGCAACAGACCAGAGAGAGAGAAGATGTGGGGCTTGGTCCTCGCCTCCTTGAAAGTCACATTGTAGAACATTTTGTCCATTTATATTTATTTTTCCTGATAACTGTTGGAATGCGTCCCACATCACTTGGAATTGCCCTGTCTATACTGGTTATAAGGCTCCAGTTTCCCTCTTCTTAATACCTGGATTTTAAGGAGAAGTGTGGGTTGAGCTTTTCAATTTAGTATCAGAGCTTAGTTGGGCCTGTGCTTGGTGTGCCATTTGTCCAAATACTGTATGTTGTGGTCCAGGAGAGTGTGTTGGAATGTGTCCCACATCGCCTGAAATTGCCCCATCTGTGATGCTAGTTATAAGGTTCCAATTTCCCTCTCCTTAATACCCGGGTTATAAGGAGAAGTGTGGGTTGGGCTTTTCAATCCAGGTGATGTGAGACACATTTCAACACACCTTCCTGGACCACAACATACAGTAGCCAGACAAACGATACACCAATCATAGGCCCAATCAAGCTCTAATACCAAATTGAAAAGCCCAACCCACACTTCTCCTTAAAATCTA